ATGGAGTCCTGGTGTGGCACTGTAGGATAAGCACTAGACCACTAACCACAAGGTCAGCGGTTCAAGCCCACCAGCGGCTCCTTGGAAACCCTATGCAGGGGGGCTGAGTGTGTTGACGGCGCTGGTCTGTCTGACAGGTAGCTATGGTGGAAGTGCAGCTGGAGACACAGTACCAGTACCCGCGGCCGCTGCTCATCGCCTTCAGCGCCTGCACCACGGTGCTGGTGGCGGTGCACCTCTTTGCCCTGCTCATCAGCACGTGCATCCTGCCCAACGTGGAGGCGGTGAGCAACATCCACAACCTCAACTCCATCAGCGAGTCCCCACACGAGCGCATGCACCCCTACATCGAGCTGGCCTGGGGCTTTTCCACCGTGTTGGGCATCCTGCTCTTCCTGGCCGAGGTGGTGTTGCTCTGCTGGATCAAGTTCCTGCCCGTGGACTCGCGACCCCAGGGCGGCGCCCCACCCGACCCTGGCAGCCACACAGGCTGGCAGGCCGCCCTAGTGTCCACCATCATCATGGTGCCGGTGGGCCTCATCTTTGTGGTCTTCACCATCCACTTCTACCGTTCGCTGGTGCGGCACAAAACCGAACGCCACAACCGCGAGATTGAGGAGCTGCACAAGCTCAAAGTGCAGCTGGACGGTCACGAGCGCAGCCTGCAGGTCGTGTGAGGATTGTGGGGGTGAGGGGAGGTCTTATGGGGGAGAGACGGAGCCGAAGAACAATACCCCCAGACCAAGAGCATCTGGGGGCAGTCAAAAATGCCAGGAGTGGCAAGGCTTGCGCAGACACTGCCAGATAGGTGAACACCAAAGTTTGACTCCTGTCTCCATTCTGGACAGTTCCCCCTCCCACAGTGGAAGTCCTCCGTTAAAGCCAGAAACCCTGTTGCTAAGAGTCCAGGAGGCAAAAAATGGCAGGTTCCTCCACCCTGGGCATTTCTGGGTTCAGAGAAAGGGGTTATTGGGAAGGGCAGTATCACCGAGGGGTCCCAGGGTGGGTGGTTGGAGTGGGCATTCAGACAGACTCAAAGACCTTGTCAGCTCTGTCCCCAGAAGGGCTCCAAGTCGCATGTTCCAACCAAGGACGATATCTGGTCTTGGAGCCAGAGGGTGCAGGGAGCCTGCTCAGAGGAGGGGTGTCCAGTACCGCCTCTGGTGGCATTTGCGATCACTCGGCTTGGCACTCCCTCCATGCCCTGGCTTGTGGAAGGCAGGCAGGAGCCCAGGCATGGGTCTGCTAAGCGACTAGCCAGGCCTGGAGGAGGGTTCCCAGGGTGAGGCCTGGTCAGGGTGGAGGTGCAAGATGATGAAGCCTGACCACTGAGGTGCTCTGAAGGCCACCAGGCTCAAGGTCTCTTTACCCAGGCCGCCTGTAGCCCTGACCCCACCAGCCCTGAGACTGGGCCTTCACTTCCTGGCTGCCTCTCTTTCCTGAGTCAGCAGAAAGCTAAGAGCACATGCCTGCCCCCTACTGCCCTGTCCCAGGAGATGGTGGCCTGTGGGTGGTGGACCACAGATGCAGTCCTCCTTTGTCATGACCCTGACCCCTCTGCAGGGAAGGTGAGGTACTTCCTGGGCCTCCTGTACTCTCATGTTTACACAACTATGCCAGGGTCTCGGGGTCACTGCAGGCGGGCAGCTGATAAACTCCAGCCCTGTCCTTGCAGTAGCAGCTCATGTGGAAGCAGGCTGCCCTTGAGCAACTTTAAAAAACCATGTTTACCACGTTTTTCAACGCTCACCCAGCAAGGGAGACCTTTTCTTCTGATTTTTTAAGCAGACATTGACCATCTCTGATTGCATATCTTGTGAAGGAGGGTCTTCTGCAGGGTGTCCCCTGTCCTCCTCAGACGTCCATCTGCAATAGCCTTGCCCTTTCCTGCGTGTCTCTTCTTGGTGGAAAGGTTTAATCTATTCGTTTTGCAGAAAAACTCCAGTGACGGTCCAGCAGCCATGTGAGTGGGCCCACAGTGCTAAGGCAGCTACTCTTCCTGGCCTGTGACCCTGACACAAGAAAGGGCCCCCGTTTTTTGACCTGCCCCCTAGTCCCTGGACCACTTGCTTCCGTTCCTCCCTTACAATCACTATGCCAAACTCCCCCACCTCTGGAAAGCTTCCCATGCCTGCTTGGGGATCAGCCATCAGACCAGATTCATGTGTGAACTTTGCACCTGGCAGCATCAGGGTAAGACAAAGTGGATGCCCCCAATGGTGGTACCATCCAGGCAGGACGATGCCACACACCAGGTCCATTTCATACTTGAATGCCATGTTCTTTCATCCAGAGGACCGTCCCGGCTCCCCAAGCCACAGAGCAGATTGTGTCTGAGGAGCGCATGTTTGGGAACTGCAGATACAACTGGGCCGACTGCCTGGGGTGTGGCAGGGAGATCAACGAGCAGGCTAGTCCTGTGGTGTCTAGAGAGAGAACCTGATCTAGGGGTGGAGGATGTCATGGGGCCACCTTGGAGCCTCTGGACTTGCCCTGTTTTCCTCAGAGCAGAGCCTTCCTGGTGCTTGTAAAAACAGCCTGACATGCTGAAGCCCTTGCCAGTGTCGAACATGTTCCCATTTAGGACTGGACCCCAAGTCTCAACCACCAGTGTTTGTCGTAACAGAGTCCCCTCAGCCTGACTGGACCGAGGGTCACTTGCTGAGGGTTCCCGGCTGTGCTGACCCAGTTATTTATGCATGCTCGTCCCCTAGGTGGTGAATGGCATACAAGACCCTGTCTTAATATCTGTTTTTTTTTTTTTTTAGTCATTTCCCTGGATGAAACTGAATAAACAGAAATGATAAAAGAAAGGGTTAAAAGTTCCTCTGTTCTCAGAAGGTTCTGCGACACTCAGGAAGTGAGCCACATCCTTCCTTCCCTGGTGTCTCCGAAGCCCCCCAGCCTCCTAACTGGTGGCCCAGGCCAGTGGATGGTAGTCGTCCCTGGGATGGAGAGGCAGAGAGCATAGGCCAACAGGCTGTGAGGCGCCTGCCTGCCACAGGGGTCCCCGGAGAGAAAAGGGGCCTCTGACTACTGAGTCCCTACATGTGGTTCTCCCCAGAATGTAGCAGCTGAGCCCCAGCAGAGCCCACCTGCACAGGGTTGGGATGCAAGTCCCCAAATTCCCCTGGAGAGAAGGAATCTGCAGGCCTTGGGACAGCAGGTACCTGTGGCTCCAGGGTCAGTGTGCTGTCCCTCTTGGCAGCAGGAACGTCCTTCCCGAAGCTATCAAGAGAGGCCACCCCATCAAAGCAATCCCTCATGATTAGTTCATTTTCTGGAGCTCCTGGGAACCGGGCTGTAGAGCGACAAAGTGCCACTTTCACCCTGAGAAAGTGTCTGGGGGCGCGGGGAGAGGGCACGAGGGTCTGCGGTTGGTATCATGCCCTGTGCCAGCAAGCCCACAAAAGCACACCACTTGTGGGGACTGCAGTTTTCTTAAAGGGGAAGATGGAAAAACACCATTCCCCATACCATACATCTGAGAAGCCTGGCAGCGCGAGTGATGGGGTCAAGATATGCTTCAAGGGCCAATATTCCCTGCTAGTCCACTCAGAATCCGCTAAACCCCCATCTAGTTCTCATTGGCTGCCAGGCCTCCCACAAGTTGTTCAAGGACACGGTACCAAAATCTAGGCAGGAAGGAGAACAAACAAGATGGCGGATC